CCAATCCGCGCCAAATGACGATTCACCGAGTCTGAGAATTTCTGCAACCATTGTTTGTTGCATAATGCCCAGTCCAATCTTTGAGAAAGATTGCCTCGCTTCAAGGTAAACTGAGGCCCTATAAACCTAATATCATGCAGGCCACTCCCATTGAGGCATGAACGGAAAAGTCATGTTCTAGCTTCCTGGTAACCCTTCAGTTTGTCCTTGCTCTGTACCTGGGTCGAGTTACCCTTCAGTTTCACCTTTGGAGTAGGAGGGTTATATTTGGTTCCTTTATCCTCTACCTGTCGTCCAGAGGATTGATCCTTGCCCACCTTGGTTTTGCTAAGTTTGGGATCCACAGGGATTGTAGTCAAAATCATCCCCGTACCGGAGGTTACCCCAAGGCTGATAGGGACGGTCACTAGCTCGTAAAGCAAACCTAGGGTCGTTGGACTCGGTGTGTCCACCACTAGGGTCGCCACCACAGTGTTATCCTGGTCCTTCCCCTTCTTAGAAGCCATCGCGGTAGTGACTTGGTTGGCTTCCAATTCCATGTCTTACACCGAAGCTTTCTCCTCCTCCGACCCCTTAGCAGCTCGAGCGTTCTCTGTGTTCTTATCTTTCTTTTCCTTGCTAGCCTGTTTTTGGGAGCGAGACATTGCTACCATCCATTCACCATATGGCTTCGTCGGTTGGGGGGTTGAAGCCCCCGCAGGTTCCATATCAGACTGTGTCTCCGTGGAGGATTTAAACAGGGTCAAGCAACCTTGAGATGTGTGGCCATATTGCCCACACTCCGTGTTTTGAGTGGCTCTGTCTACCTTAATCGGTCGCCCGAATTCGCTTGGCCGCCTCACGGTTGATGAACTCAATAGGTAAACTAGGGAGGCGTGCCCAGACCATGGTCGTGGCTACTTCCGCTGTACGTGGATCAAACCCTTTCCGCCAAGGACGCACCGTAACATAATGGCCTCTGATCGTCCAAGGACCATGGTCGTGGCTACTTCCTGCTAGCGCCTGTTAGTTGTCCATCTGGCTGGTGAATTGGACGACGTGAAACCCCTAAGAAAGGCTAGATATTTGTAGGGAACCACACTTGGCCCATATCGATTCTAGTCTATGTGAATTAGCTTGAAAAGGGAATGTTATCCCTAGAACCGTGGTAAAGGAAACGGTACCGGAAATAATACCGACCACAAAGTCTGATAACCAGTTAGAAATGGTGAAACATCAGTCTCACTCACAGCTTCACCTGGCGAAGCCCAACACCTCTTCTTGATAATGGACACTGCAAAGATTAATGTAGTGGTCGGTGGCAGCAACAGTTCCGTTAATCAAGTGCTTGGCAGCAAGCTTGCATGTAACTCTCTTGTCAATTTTGGTCTTTGTTAACTCTTTTTCCATCCGCCTCCATTAAACCCTTGAAATGAACAAACAGGTTATCGAAGCATATATATGCAGTAGGAGAGGTCCAGGATTATGAGAGACGATAAGACAACTAGAGATGATAATATGCCGATGTTAATGTCATAATTGCTTTCCACATCAAGAATTTCCAAGTTGTGGTAACCTTCCAACAAGCCCTGCAGGAAAGAAAAGAAAGGATTTTTAGATGTTATTTCCACTTTGAAGTAGTGGTAGCTGGAGAAGTTGCATTATTAGGAGTTACCAGTGATGTTGTTCCCGTGTAGGTAAAGGCGTGCTACATCACTGGGAAACCCAGTTTCTTGACTTCTCCTCAGATATAAATAGGTTCAACAACACTTCATCAAATGTGGACTTTGCATGGGGAAGCACTTATGCTCGGAATGCAAGTTCTTTGACGATGATGTAAAGCGTCCTCAGTCCTTCAAAAATAATGTTCACATTTCGTTTTAGCCTCCTCGGTCAGTAAAAAATGCAACCTGTTCTTTTTTCCCCAGGTCTCAAAGCAGCAATACCATTGCAAGCTTGCAGCCAATGCGGCATCTGTAGGTTACTACTCATACCTTAACCATCTCTTGCTATTGAGGATGACAATGCTAGTTTTCCCTTTCTTTACTCATGGTGTGTTTTTGTTTGTAATTTTTATGTTGCAGAACCGGTGGGGAGGAGAACTTTCCATTGTGACAAATGCAGTACAATTCTTGACATAAAGGTAACGTCGGAATTGAAGATATAAGATTCTTGGTTTTGACTGATTGCCTCTTTGGTTTTGCATGTTAAGGATGTTGCTAGTCAATGCTCTTGAAGGATTCACAAAACTGTCTTGTGTTCTTTGAGGTACACTCGTAAGTTTAGACCATCCCATAACTAATCACATTAGGTACATTTTTATTTAAAATGGCTTGCCTTTTCTTCGCATAGTTTATGTTTGAGACGACAAAATACATCACAGTCTTGTGCTGCAAACACAATATCCATTTAGAATGCCATAATAGTTTGATAGTAGGTAAAAACATGATCTTGTTCCCGGGTAGGTAAAAGTAAAACCATGTTAGAACCCTAAAAGGCAGAAGAGGCAGTCAGACCAGTTTACTGAAAGATGGACCGCAAAAGAAGTGGCTGAAGCGGATTATCAAAACTGGACAGAAGAGTCCAAGTTGATTAATTGTTGCAGGTGTTCATTTGCTAGCTTTCTTATGTACATTTTGAAGAATCACTCATTCTCATAGTTCTAAGGTTAAGAACGTTGATTCTTTGTATTCAGTTCATATCGAGAATGCCTGTTGATAGATGGTCAAATTTCAGTCATTCTATATTTCTGACTTGTCAAACAAAATAAACAAGCACAAATTTTCAGGAAGTCAGCACCCAAGTGTGCATTAGCACTTGACGATTCAGCTCCTGAAAATTAGTATCATAGTGAAATAGAGGTGGCAATTAGGATCCAAATCCATGAATCCAATCCAATCCATCCACCAAATTATCCACCTAATCCAATCCATTTAAATCCAATCCATTTGATCCAAATCCAATTGGATTGGTGGATTCATGGATAAATCCATGGATCCAAATGGCAAATTACGATTTGGTACCTATATTTTTTACATTTTACATTTTGGTACCTAAAATTTATATTTTTATACGAAAAATATCATTGGAAAATTACATTTTGGTACCTAAAATTTTTCATTATGACATTTTAGTACCAAAACTTTTCAAATTTTACATTTTGGTCCAAGCCTTGGATGTCATTTGGATTCATGGATCAATCCACCAATCCATTTGATCCAATCCATGAATCCACCAATCCATTGGATCCAATCCATTTGATCCATGGATCTACCAATCCAATCCACGAATCCACGAATCCGATCCAATTGCCACCTCTATAGTGAAATATTGTACTTGCTTTATATAGTAGGAGATCACTCATGAACAGAATATGCTTCCACCATCAACTTTTAACTTACCTCAAACAAACAGACCATGGAGATATTCACAAATCACATTTTATGCAACCTCAATTGATGTACTGTCTAAGCCAACAACAACATAAAGATACATATAAACAAATGAACTATCATGACTCTGTACTCTCAGCAGCACCGCCTACAACTTGGTTTCCACGATTGTAATAGAGACGGTGAAAAATAAGGCGGGCGACGCAGAGGGAGTTTTCACTGACTTCGAATCACTTGGTACTTAGACAGAGGCACTGTGTGATGACAGACCAGAGGGATTTCCTTCGCCTCTGTTCTACGGTATAAAAGTAGGAGGGAACAATGAGGGATTTCGATCGAGGCTTTAGGTCGAACCTGGAGATGGGATGGACGACACAGAAGGCGTCGGACTGATTTCGGAGACACCGCTGGAGAGGGGATCGAGCATCGAGGAAAAAAAGAATTGTGTTTGTTCGTTATTCTTATAAGTTTCTGTCGAAAAACAAAAATTAATTGCAGATACCTGAATTTAAATTAAAGAAAGAAAAAACATATATAACGGAACACTTTTTTCGTTAGTTTGAAAGAGACGGTATGAGCCCTTCTCATGGGCCAAACGGGTGGGTTGGAAATTAGTAAATCCAGCCATGCCACATCACATTCCACGTGAAATCGTGGACCAATTAAAAATCGCGTTATCGGTGTCGCATTTTTTATCGCGGCACCATAGTATAGTATTGGCCAGTTAATTTAGCGTGACCAACTTTAGTTACGATTCTTCAAAAGCCCATACAACTGTTACAACTGAGCCCAGGCCGTGCTGCAACGAGGGGAGCGTGGGCCGGAATCCAGCAGCCTTGAGCCCAGTCCAGACCCAGCCGACGCAGTGAAAGTAAACCACACCAGTCGTATCATGGAGAGTGGAGATAAAAAGCCTCCCAGACTCCCCAGTAGTCGGTAGTACTCAGTAGTTCAAACGAAAGTGCCTTTGAAAAATCTAGTTTTCCCTCGACATGGAAGATTTGGCAGAAGAAGGCAATCCCCACACGGCAAGAAATGACCAACCCGCCTAGCTATTACTACTACTAGAGGCAGAGAGAGCAGATCCGCCATGGCTGAATCTTCTTTTTCTCAACTCTAGTTTATTATCGTAAACACCGTATACTATACCAGTAACTTACATTCTTGGTGTTTCTATTTCCCGCAATCCAAAGGTTATTCCCATGGTAAAGTTTTTAACTTTTCACCTCAAAAGGTACGGCAGTCATATGGGACAACTGCAACTGGAATGGTGATGGGCCTGATGGGGCATGGGACGGGAAATTATTAAACAAAGTGAACGATGACTGGGAAATTGGCGGGTGATCGTTTCGTGGGTAACTAAATACACGACAGGTAATCCCCCGCCCCAACGAGGCAAAAGCAACTAGCTTTCCCCCTTCTCTCCGGTTTCTTCATCCCTATTTACTTCGATTCGAGGGTTCAAGCCACCACCCATGGAAAGCTTGAACAGAAAAAACCCAATTCACCAAAAGGAAACAATATGAACATGGAGAATTAAAGAAGGATTAAAATTTTGAAACAGAGAGAGAGAGAGAGAGAGAGAGAGAGAGAGAGAGAGAGAGAGAGAGAAAGGGGAAATTGGAAAAAATGATGAAAAGGGAAGAAGAAGGTGGTGAAGTGGGGAAAAGCAGAGATGGGGCAGGGCCGTCCGCGGAAAAGAAGGAAACTTTGGCTCTAAAGTTGAAGAAGCTCCAATCAGTGGGCCATCCCCCTGATTCCACTCCCGTTAGACTTTGGCTCCGTGTCCGTGAGGTAGAGCACCAGAAGAACCAGCACGATCCTGTTCCCTCTTCTTCTTCTTCTTCTCCTCGTGATTTCACCGCGGGTTACAGCAGAAGCAGAAACAGTCCAACCGTTTCCGCCAGGAAGCTTGCCGCGGCCGTCTGGGAGTTCCACCACTACCGGCCTCTCTCTAAGATGCACAGGGGCGCCAATTTTACTGGTAACAGCGGCGGCGGAGGTGGAGGCCACCGCCAACAGAGTCGTCACCGTGGGTTTAAGGGCAAGGGTATTGATGTCTCCCGCTTCTTGCCTGACCCTTCTCCCAGCTCTCCTGATCAGGTAATGCTACTTCCGTTTCTTTGCGCTCCTTTCAACTTTTGCTTGTCTGTTGATTTGGCTGCCGGATCGTGGGGTGATTTTGGGTTTGTTTGGGTTCTTTTGATGGATTTTTATGGATCGCTTTTAGGGTTCGATGGAGGCAATATCTAAAACTTGAATTATTGCCAGAAGTTCTGCTATCCCTGTTTCTTGAATCATCTGCAATTGGGGGTTTTCTTGGTGCATATGGTGGTCTGCTGTGTGAAGATTATATAAATGCATTTTGCCATAACAGTTATGTTAAAAAAAAAAAATAGATTGCAAGACTCAGGTGGATTTCAGTCGATGGGTTGATGATGTAGCAAGACTTTGACTGAATTTTAAAAGAGTAGTTGCTGCTTGTTCTTGCTGGATTCTCTGAATCCTGATGTTGTAATTCTTGTTCAGCCCGAGAGTGCAGGCAGCCTGAGGAGGCACATTGCCGCGTCACTGGTTCAGCATCATCGGTCGATCGAGAGAAGTAATCATGCTCTGCAGCCTGTTTCCCCTGCAAGTTATGGCAGCTCCTTGGAGGTAAACCTTTTCTCTTCTTATAGTCAAGCACCTATTGTGTTGTGTTCTAGCTAAAATGGTGCCAAAACGATGATGCGGTCTGAAGTGTGACATATGGGCTTCACTCTTACCTATTGTCTCAGCAAACACTTGCTTTGCATTTCATTTGAACAAAGCATGTCTGTCTTTGCTCATTCTGGTGTCATTTAGTTTTGGTTTCTTCCTCGTGCTTTTGCCTTTGGAGCTTCCGTCCAAGATTTCTCATTATCTGCTATTCCTTTCTTTGCAAGTCCAGATGGCGCCTTATAATCCTGGAATGACACCAACCAGCTCTGTAGAATTCAAGGGGAGGGTTGGCGAGTCGCGCTATAATATTAAAACTTCCACAGAGCTATTAAAAGTGTTGAACAGAATATGGAGCTTGGAGGAGCAGCATGCATCTAACATGTCACTGGTAAAAGCTCTGAAGAAAGAGCTAGACCATTCCCGCATCAGAATCAAAGAGCTCCTTCGTGATCAACATTCGGATCGACGTGAGATGGATGAGTTAATGAAGCAAATCAACGAAGACAAGAAAAGCAAGGAACAGGATCGGTTGCATGCTGCAGTTCAGTCTCTGAGGGACGAGGTAGAAGACGAGAGGAAGTTGAGGAGAAGGTCAGAGGGTCTGCACAGGAAGTTATCCCGAGAGCTTTCTGAAGTGAAATCTTCGTTCTCCAATGCACTGAAAGAAATGGAAAAGGAGAGGAAGTCGAGAATGCTTTTGGAAGATCTCTGTGATGAGTTCGCTAGGGGGATAAAGGAGTATGACCAGGAACTGCATCATGCAATGAAACAGAAACCTGATCACAATGACTGGGTTGGAAGAAGCAATGATGGCGATGATCGCTTGATTCTCCATATATCCGAGTCATGGCTTGATGAGAGGATCATGCAGATGAGACTAGATGAAGAAGCTCGGCAGCATGGTTACTCCACAAACAGCTCAATAGTTGACAAGTTAGGTTTCGAGATAGAGACATTTCTTAAGGCAAGAAGAATGGCAATCTCCAAAAACATGGATAAATTGATCCCAAAGGAAAGGCGGAATTCAATGGAATCTGTCCCCTTCAAGGCCGTGAGTGCTCCTCCGGATGTAGGGGATGAAGATGATGATTCTGTGGGCAGTGATTCTCAGTGTTTTGAGCTCAACAAACCGTCGAAGAATGATTATAATGTACATGAACATGAAGACAAGAAAAAGCTCATCTCATCATCTCGTGAAAGAGTTAAAAGCCGGAGTCCTTCAAGCTTGCAAGTCAAATTCGAAGAACAGATGGTCAGGGCGATGATGTCATCCAATGCCGATAAGAACCCAGAGATGGTGGACTTGGTGGAATTGAAACCAAGTGGAAACTACGAAACCACAGAAGGCGGGGGTGGTACCAACGAGAGGAGAAACAAGGCCACCGACGAGATCCACGAGTCAAACTCTAACTACGCGATGGATAACCTGATCAAGAGTCACATCTCAGCAGCTTCAGAAGCTGGAAACCTGCATCTTGATCGCATCAACGCAGGGGAGGCTTCTTCTAGCTATCCATCTCGAAGGACTGCTGCTAGTCCAGTGAGGCAGTGGATGGCGAAACTCACCACAACGGATCCTGATGTGGCGGAATCGTCCACGAAATTACCTCCGGCATCCAAGGACAGCACGTTGAAGGCGAAGCTACTCGAGGCGAGATCCAGGGGTCCTCGATCGCGATTGAAACTGTTCAGAGGTCCGTCTTAGGAAAGAAGTTGGAATTTGACTGCTGCGAGATCAGCCGAGTTATCCTACCACATATATGTTGACTGTTGTCGGCCTAAGTCGTTCTGTGATTTATTTTTGCAATGCGTATTTCTGTACATGAGTGAAACTATTGGCATGTAAAGCTTTTTGTTTATTCATCTTGGTAACACTCTTCGATTCCAGTGGTTGTGGATTTCTTGTAGGAAAAGAAAATGGTTCTGGTTGACATGCGCTGCCTCTAACTCCTCAGAAAGTTGTTCAAGAACAATCATGTTGGGCTTGCAATGGCCCAAAACTAAACAAGATCTTTGGGCTGACATAAGGCCCAAGTAGCACAGTGTATCTTGTCCTTCTGTGACTGGGTTCCTGCTTTGCTTCCGGAGCTCGGTTCCGCCGCTTCTCGGCCTTTCACCGGAACCCACGAGGCGGGCCCGGATTCGTCGAGCCAGGAGCTTAAGGACCAAGGTGTTATCGGTGAGCTAAGAGCGTCGGAATTACAGGGCAAAGGATGGCCGCGGCGGCCTCTCTCAGGTGGATTCTACAACTTCACAAGGATGTGCCCAAGGCCGCTCGTTTCTACTCCGAAGGTCTAGACTTCACTGTCAATGTATGCACTCTACGGTGGGCTGAGCTTCAGTCCGGGCCTCTGAAGCTCGCCCTCATGCAATCTATCAAGTAAAGTTCTATCTTCTCCAGTAATTGGATGCCTGCCTGCTAGATGTTCGATCATTTGTCTCTGAGAGCTCCCGTATTTCAGTTTTCCGTTGAGAGTCAGATTAACACTGCTGTCACGAAAGCTTGAGGATTGTCGCTTGTTTCTTGTGCTTTTACGTGTTGTTTAGCTGGTGCTGGGCATTGAAGAGAATAGGGACCTTCTGGCCGGCTATCACTGACTTTTTGAACATTGCTATTATCGTACATCGCCTAGGCAACATCCTTTCTGGGTGGAAAAGATGGAAATCGTGTCATAATAATGTTTTAGTTCCTTGTTAGCTGGCTTTGCAGTGGAGGGCCAGCTGCTGACCCCTATTTTTTCAGTGACAATGTTCCGCAGAAGGGGTATTCTTCTTCGCTATCATTTACAGTCACTGATATCAATAGTACGGTGACAAAGCTGATGGCTTTAGGCGCAGAGCTAGATGGACCCATCAAGTATGAAATTCATGGAAAGGTAATCCATCTTCCTGCTTAACATCTTTCTGAAGCTAAAACTACTGAAACCGCTCTCTTATGTCTTGCCACAATGGAGGCAAGAAAGATACCCAACAGAAAATATATTTGTTTGTAGCAGGTAGCTGCCATGCGTTGTATGGACGGCCATGTCTTAGGGCTTTATGAACCAGCATAAAAGGGTCTACAAAGGAAAGAATAAACAAGTCAAATTTGATGCCAAGTGTGGGGTAATTGCTGCCGACTTCCTGCTGGCTGCCGGGTCTTGTTCTTATTTCAAAGTCTTGGAATCTGCTGAAGACACGGAGAAGACATGGGAGATTTCTCCATGCTTGGGGTTCCCCTTGATTATTGATAGCGTTTGTTGATCGATATCTATAATTGCTGTGCATAGGGTGTATAGAGTTGGACCTGGAATTAAGGCAAAGCTGTGAGATTGACAAGTGAACTGATTGAATAGGAAGAACAAAGGTCCTGCATTTCCATTTTGTTACCATTCATGTAAATGGGGTATCTTTTGTCCCCATATCTCCTAGAATTGACAAGAAATCCTCCTTTGATGTTTTCGCCAGAACAGCTGCTCTTTCTTGCCTGCATTTTGAGTTGTCATCTTGTACCTATTGCAGATGAAATGATTCAATTACAGTTTCTTTGGTAGAAAAATATCTCATTGACATTTCTTATTTCGTCACCTGATCGACTTGAAGGTGGAGATACATATTTGCATGGAAGAATGGCGTTGTTCCAATCTCGCGAACTGAAACCCGATTTCTAGAGGTTGTTTCAACGTTCAGTATCTTTCTGTCTGGCATGTAGATGAGGTTGTAGCAGTGCCCTACTGAAACTTCACATGAATGTATGATCTGCAGAAAGAGAAGTTCAACTCGTTAACTCTGTAATTATGAATCACAGTGACAGTCTTTCTGCTGCAGGACCCAATTCTTACTCTGAGTGCATCAGCCATGCTTGTTGCTTCTAGTAAGTCTCTAGAGACAAAGTTCCTTCCAATTCCTCCAGCCATTATCTCATGTTCTGATGGAGGCACTGAGTTCAATGTGAATGCCTAATGAGATTTCTTTTTCAAGTCAGCAAATGAAATGCAAAACTTTCAACTTGTATAAAGCTACCCTAAAATTAAATGGGAGGGGAATTACCAGTCCATGAGTATTGAACCCAAATGCACAGCTTGGAAGCTCCCCTGCATATGTATACCCAACAAACACTAATCCATTCTGCAATTTTGCCTTGATCAGATAGCTGTAAACATCCTGAGCCAGAGTAAGTAATTAACCCGGATAACAAACCCCCCCCAAAAAACATGTGATTCAAGTGGCGGCAAAGTTTACATGTGATCAACTAAAGCCACATTAGCATCCTCATTGTGGGCAGCAATGGCCAGATCCTCACTGACAACCAGAACATCCGAACAGTCATCGATAGTATCGACAGATTCAGGGCTCGACACCTGTAGTGTCTTTGGAACGAATGGCAGAATCTCCTTCCTGAAATTGATCAAGACCACCTGCAATGCAGAAACTAAACTTTAACAACCCTTTCTTCTCATTGTAAATTTTGATTGTGATAATTAACTTTTGGCATCTTTTACCATACATCAAGAAGAGAAACTCCACTGCCTGCTGCAGTTCCCAACAGCTCATCCCAGTATCTGGGGAACTTGTTCCTGTTGTTATCAGAGAGGGCCTCGATAAGCTGCTTTCCTTGTGGAGTTTGAGCAAAAGGGCGAAGCTGATTCTGAAGAATAAGGTCTCCTGCTAACCGGCTCCTTATCTCCTTGCTGAACTTCTGGCCTATCAGCAAACCCATCTGGTAGCCATCATTGGACGGTCCAACTTCGAACAGTTCTGGCCCTTTGGACTCCATGTCAGAGCTACCCATTTCAGCTGAAGCTTCGTTTGGCAATCTTGAGAGCCTCTCCGATTTACTCTCGCGATATTGGAATGGTAACATCTCCTTATCATTTTTATCATCTGCGCTTACCTGTCCGCATTCAGCATTCATTGGCCATAAAAACGGAAAACCCCACATCTCTATTTCACAATTTCAAAAAACAAAACTGTTTGCTAGTAAAACTCTATTGGTGGAGCATAAAAAAACTCTCAACAGTCGAGATAACATTATTTCTTGAAGTTTTGTCAAACATAAAATAGTTACCTTTAGTTTTCAGCAAACGGGCATCCCTCTGAAAATGGCGCTTGGCAAGTACTTGGGCATCCCGGCGATTCATGGGCGCGTGACTAGAGAGAGATATCAGCCCCTTCTCCTTCGCATCCAGAAGAAGCTGGCGCCTTGAAAAGCTAAACGTTTATCCTTTGCCGCGAGGCTTACAGTGGTTAATTCGGTTTCTGCTTCTATCCCGGTTTATCACATGAATACTGAGCTTATACCCAGTGGAGTGTGTCACAGTATTGATAAGATGAACATGGACTTTGTATGGGCGGAGGAGGAGAATAAGAACAAGATGCACCTGGTGGCTTGGGATAAAATGGCGGTGCCAAAGAAGCATGGAGGGGTGGGCATCCGCCCTACCAGACAGGCCAACCTGGCCATGCTCGCTAAAGGGGGATGGCGGCTCATCAAAGAGAAGGAGACTCTCTGGTCTCAAATCATGCATGCCAAATACGGTCGTCAAAGGGAGAACCTGGACATCCTTTGCAGTTCTCAAGGAAGTTCCTTCACTTGGAAAAACTTTTCTAAAGCTGCTGATGTGTTAAAGCAGGGGTGTACTTGGAACATTAAGAATGGTAAGCACACTAAGTTTTGGTTGGATCCTTGGGTTTTGCGGGGGAGCCTGAAAGAGGTGGCTACTACGCAAGTTGCTGAGGATATGGAGCAAATGATGGTGGCTGAGTACGTGACAGCCGATGGAGCTTGGCGCACAGACATGTTCGAGGCCTTCCTCCCTACCGAGGTCTGCCAGAAGATTCTTAGTGTGGCTGTTGACACGCTCTCTAACGAAGAGGACACTCTCTTCTGGACTGCTTCCCCGGACGGAAAGTTCTCAACCAGGTCGGCCTTCACCCTCATCACTCCGCAGCCTCAAGACCAGGATGAGAAGCTCTGGAAGACGGTCTGGCGCCTACCAGTCCCGGAGAGGATCCGCATTTTCATGTGGCAAACGTGCACCGGGAAGATTGCCACTAACAGCTTACGTTTCCACAGGAAAGTTGCTGCGTACCCGTTCTGTCCGAAGTGCCCGGGGTCGCCAGAGACAATCTTGCACACTCTCAGAGACTTCCCTCCAGCTACCTTCTTCTGGCTTCGGCAGACCGCGGGAATGCAACAACAAGACTTCTTCACTCTCGATCAGAAAGATTGGCTGCGCAACAATCTCTCGAGGACGGATGCAGTGGCGACAGGGATGCCTTGGCCTGCTTTCTTCAGTACAGCGCTGTGGCTCATTTGGAAAAACCATTGTGTTCTTTGTATGCAGGGTACCGGAGCAGATCTCACTCCTCCCTCACTTGAGCACTCGATTTTGGCCAAGGCAAAGATGTGGTACAATGCTTGGCTCGCCCCTTCTCTTCTTCCCTGCAAGGGAAGTCGACCAGCTGACAGAGTGGAGGAGGAAGTGGGCTCGAAGCCACCGCCAGATGGATGGATCATGCTCAATACTGACGGAGCCTCCAACGGCAATCCTGGGCCAGCAGGGGCTGGGGGTGTGTTGCACGATCAGATGGGACGCTGGGTTGCAGGTTTTGTCGCCAACCTTGGCACTGCCACGACGATTCTCTTGGAGCTTTGGGGAATCTCCTTCGGCCTGGACATCGCTTGGAAATATGGAGGAAGAACTATTCACATTCAGACTGACTCGCAGCTGGCGCTGTAGCTCCTTAAGGCTAGACATGACCCGATCCACCCGTATGCTACTCTCCTCTCCGCCATTCGCATGAAGCTTAACCGTGACTGGTTGGTTCGCTTAACGCATACTTACCGGGAAGGGAATAGAGTCGCGGACTGGCTCTCGAAGCACAATCTCGTCTATCCCTATGGTATGCATGAGTTAACGAACCCGCTTTCGGGAATTAATTCTCTGCTTAGAGAGGACATCATGGGCATCACCAGCACCCGTAGGGTGGTTGCTACCTCTTCTTCCCCTCTTTTCACCTCCTCCATGTAACTCTCTTTTTCTTGGCTTTTAGCCTCCCTCTGATGCAAAAAAAAAACAACCATACATACAATAAAGGCAAAATACACTTGTATAGCCATAACTTTCGCTATTTTGCCAATAATAGTCACTTTTGGAGAAATACACAAAATAGCCAACTCCGTCCAATTCTTTAACGGTGTCATCTAACATGTTGACTGGACTAACAGAAACGCTGACATGGAGACGTTTCGTCAGTAACATTACCACGTGGATTGACTTTAAAAAAATATAAAAAATAAAAAAATCTCTCTGTCAACTTTCCATCTCTCAACTTTCAGCCCCTTCTCATCCCCTCCTCCGCGATTTGATTCTCCTTCTTCACCTCGACCATCTCTGATCTCTCTTTGTGAGCAAAACATCACTCTGATTGACACCCACCCACCCGACCTTTCCCTTTCTCCAAGTTTATTCTCGGTCTCAGTTAGGCTAATTTCCATATCTCCCCCATCCCTTTCTTACCTTCTCTGCTCCACCCTTCCGCCGCTCAATTGAGGAGGAACGGTCATCAAATCCATAGGTTTCATTCTCCCTCTCCCGACGAAGAGAACCCATAAACGAAACCTCAGTTTGGGTGAATTATTGCAGTCGGGATCGAGGTTATCCAGGCGGTGGTGTCTAAGTCACCGGCGATGGATTCAAGAGAAGGAGAAGGGAGGCCTGGATGAGAATGGTGGAAAAAATAGCTTCATGCGGCGGAGGACAACGAGAAGCTGGAAAGACAGGGGGAATCCAGTAACCGCCCACCTCCCCACCTTCCATCACCGTTGCTTACCCTCGCCCTTCTCTTCAAATCCATAAGAAAATTTCAGATCTGATGGATTCAAGCATCCACTAAGAATCAAATCTGACCAGAGGGGCATCGTCGTTCCTCGTACAACGTCACCATAATCCCCATCTCTGTATATTCTTTGTCGAATCCAATTCCTCTACTCTATCTATCCACGATGAGTCCTTGATTCTGTGTTTTTCTGTGGTGAGTGATTTGGTGTGAGTGATTTGGTTCGACGGATCTGGTTTTACTGGCGAATGCGGGAGAAGAGGTCGTCGGTGTGTTTGATGAGATTCCTTTTTTGTTTTGATTTATGATGTTCTTACATGATTGATGGCTAGAGAGTGATATTAACATTGTATATTTGTTTGGGAAGTTATGGAAGGTGCTGGAACTTCATTTTTTTGGGAAGAACAGAAAGAACAGATCTGCACAAAGTGGCGAAAGAAAAGGAAAGGGAAGACAACATGGGGAGAAAAAATAATTAAATATTTTATTTTTATATTTGACATTATTTTTATATGAAAACTCTTTAAATATTAATTAAAATGACACGTGTCATCTACGTGTCCATCAATAGCTGAGTTGTCATTAACGTGGTCGCTAAGTTGGCATCTTAGTCAGCATTCCGTTTAGATAACTGACGGTGACACTAACACCGTTAAAGTTTGTAACGGGAGTGGCTAGATTTGTCATACAATCATTCAAATTGTGGCTATTT